CCCCAAAACCCCAAAACCCCAAAACCCCAAAACCCCAAAACCCCGTGCTAATATTTAACTGCTGAAATTTCATTTTTAGTAATGGAGTTTGATATCGAGAGAGATTGGTTCTTCCCACAAGAAGACTATCGTAAGTGATGGTGTTATTGAAAAGGAACATGATGGTGTCCCTGACTGAGCTAATATAGAAAAGATTCTGATAGCAGTGTTCAATCTCAACACACTGTTCGAATACTTGTTTGTGTTCTGGCTTGTTGGTACTTTCGGAGGCCATTTCTGGGGAGCAATTCTGTTGTTCTTCTTTTACATCAGTAAGTCAGCTCTTTCAGATTTAGGCACAACTGTGTATTTTCACATTATAAACTATGCAATGATGGATCAGATCAAGTACTCAGATCACCAGATTCGTTTTAATGCTAATTCTTGTGAGGGATCGTAAGTCGTCTTTCATTTTAAAGATCAAAATTTTAGAGGAATGAGTATAGTTTACACAAATATTTACTTCACTTAAAAAAACATAAATTTTTGTTTATGGAGCTAATATTTTAGATTTAAATTTTGGGCGATGATCTTCATCACCTGAGACTGAGCCCCCACAAGATGTGTCAACAAAGAAAACTTAAGAGAAATTATGGACTGGCATAAGAAAACTTTTATTTTTGCTTGGATAGCTAGAGCCTTGCTGCTAACCTGCACTTTGATAGCTTACCCCTTTTTCTGAGAAGATGGAGAAGATATTGCTGTCTATATTTTCTTCTGACTGTTCTATGCGATCAACTCTTTGTATCCGTATTCACTATTTCTTTCATATTATTTGTTTGTCTTCCTGTTATTTTTCTTACTAATCCCAGTGTTAGCTTTTTATTTCTTAATATGCTTCCTGATCTCCCTTGTTGCTAATCCTTCTGGCTGCTACGTCAAATGTTTTGGGAATCCGGTTGCAAATATTGATCCGGAGAATCCAATTCATATTTACAATGGAGTTCTGCCTGTTGATAATTCCATCGAAGTCCAGATAGGTAGGCCTGATATTTATGGATTAGGCAATGAATCTGGAAGAAAAGTCTTCGCTGCAAGTAAATTAAAACTTTTGCTCACACTCTAGGTGCTTTCTCCTCTTCAGTGAGAGATAGTCATCCAGAAGATGGACCCTATCTTCCCAGAAGAAATATTGATGGGAATAGAAAAGAAGAAATTCTTAGAAATGGAAGAAGTATCGTTCTTGAAATTGAACTAGCTATCGCTTCTATGGGTTTTAATGAAAATGAAGCAAGACGTATTTCTCATGAAGTCTTCTTGGACTGGGTTCAAGATTTGACACAAAACGATAATACAGATTCAAGTGCATGATCTATTTGTAGTGATGCATTACTAATAAATCAAAGAGTAGTTTTCCTTCCATGAAGCATGATATCAAGAAGACATAAGTATCATATTGACTGAATCAATGATTGGATTGAAAGACAAGAAGACGCTAAAAGATGTCCAGAATGTATGGCATCTATCGGAGATATTGTGATGAATATGAGCATAGAATTTAGATCTCTCCTAAGCAAAATCAATCAATAAACAAAAACTTGCTAAAATTTTAAGCGTCTCTCGTTCCAATTTTTTTCTAAACAAATATCAACCCTCTTGGTTCCCACTGGGGTTTTGGGGTTTTGGGGTTTTGGGG